GCAGAACTTTGACCCAAAGCTGGAGGTTCTGACAGCTGGAGAAACTAAGCGGGTGGATGGAGTGATGAGTGGCCTGTGCCAGCAACAGGTTGGGGAGGGGCAGCATTGTGTAGAGCAAACTCTGCTTCATCCAGAACTTCCTCTGGCTTCTCACTAGAACAGGTGGTGATGGAGAAACGGGCCGGTTTCCCTGATGAAGGTTCTCGTACCCAGAACCGAGGGTCCGGAACCATCTGCTGGTACCAGAACAGATCCATGGAGGGTAACGTCTGCCGGTCTGAAATGGTCCCAGCAGCCAGAACCAGAACAGAACCTTGGAATGGTCCTTCTCTCTCCGGATCGGTTCTGACTGATCCAGATCTTTTGGGTCCTTGTGGAGCTGCGGTCTGTCCGGTCGGTTTCAGGCGAACATGCCTGGTGTTTGTTGGGTCAGGGTCATGAGCGCCGCTGAGGTCACGGCGGCGTCTGAACATCAAAGCCACAATGACGTCCAGCCGGAGGGTTCTGATTAAAACGGGTTGAACGGTTCCTCTGTGGCGGCTTAATTTCTGGATGTTTGATGGTTTTATCCACCAGCAGCTCCCGGGTGGGCGGGGCGCGGCGTGGAACCAAACATCATCAGGCTCCTGGTTTCCTCTCAGACTGGAAAACATCAGAATCTTCTCCTGAGGGATTTTAATTTCCCAGATTTGAGCAGGAAAAATCATTTGCCTTCATCCTATTGGCTGATCGTCTGCTTTTCCTGCTCAAATTAACACATTTTAATTTATTTTTCTGTTTTTGATGAATTCTGTTTGTTTTTATTCTTCCTCTCGGTCTAAAGTTTAAATAAAGTCTTAATGTTTGATAAGATCCTAATTAGCAGAAAGCTTTGATTAAAAAGCAGAACGGGAGCAGCAGACGAGGCGCTCCGCTCTGAATGGGGCGTATTGATCAGGTCTGCAGCATAACGGCCTCTAATCAACATGGCCGTCACATGATGGCGGCGGGGGGAGGCGCAGAAGGAGAACCGTCACCCAGCCTCTGCTCTCTCCACTCCTCAGGTAGACTTTGATCGCTTTCTGCCTTCAGCTCCTCCAAACGGGTCGGATGGCGCAGAAACGCTCCTGAAGTTCTGACCCGCGCTGCGGGAGGAAAGGACGGCGTTCTGGGAGCGATGCTGAGGCAGATGGCGGCTGGAGGGATGTTCTGATCCAGAGAGCGGCGGTGTCGTTCTGCCGGGTCCGCTGTGACGGAACCTCTGCCTCGTTCTTCTGCTCTGTGCTTCTGGCCGCCAAACCGTTTCAGCCTGACAGGAAATGCGGCCCGAAGGATCGGCGCCGGCAGGCAGCTCTCTGCTTTCATCAGAAGCAGCATCGCCATGACCGAATCGGACCCGGCGGCTCGTTAGGGACTCAGAGAGCCAGAAGATGACCACGTCCTCCCGGGTCAGAACCCAGAGCGCCACTCTGACCCAGCCCATCCCGGTACCGACCCTGACCGTCCTGCCGCCGTCCTCGGACACGGAGTCCTGGTCCCGGTCCCCCAGCCCCGGGCCGCCGCGCTCCGGCCCGCTCAGCCAGTCCCACCGCAGCCGGACCAGAACCAAGAGGAGGCAGGAGGAACCGGCCCAAACGTTTGATGTGGAGTCTGTGCAGAGGGGCCCGGCCCGGCGGCGCCGCCACGCCCCCTCAGAGAGGCAGAGGGAGGACAGCCCTTCCCAGGTCCTGCTCCTGCCGCCGGCCCGGTCCTGGTCCCGGAGCCCCTCCCCCAGCCGGCGGTCCCGCTGGTCCCTCAGGAGCCTGCTGAGCAGAGACTCGGACCTGGACAGCTGCAGGTTAGTGTTCCGGATCCGTCCTGGCGGTTCTGAGCCCGCAGCAGAACTCCAGCATGCGGACGGTTCTGTCGGCGCCACATTCGGGTCAGAACAGATTAAAGGAACCGTTCTGCTGCGGTTCCAGAACAGAGCGGACCTTTGGTGGCTGTCAGAACCCTGATAAAGGTCACCTGACTCGGTTCTGATGTCAGAAAAAGCGGCGCGGTTCTGGTTCTGGTTCTGACCGACCGGCTGGATGAACCGCAGCGACCCGAGCCGCCGGTTCTGGACCCAGTTGGACGGATGGTGGGATTCTGGCAGCGCAGCAGAAAGGTTATGTAAACAAAGAGAGGAGAATCTGGAGGCGGGTCTTCCTGGGACTGATGACATCATCTGCAGCCAATGGGAGAGGATCTGGGTCTGATGATGTCATGTGGGTCCAATCAGGTGGGGCGGAGTGGACGCTGTGGAGGGATGACCCAGTTCAGCCGCAGGGAGCATGTTAATGAGGTCCAGTCAGAACCAGGAGGTCCAATTAGAACCAGGAGGTCCAATTAGAACCAGGAGGTCCAATTAGAACCAGGAGGTCCAATTAGAACCAGGAGGTCCAGTCAGAACCAGGAGGTCCAGCCAGAACCAGGAGGTCTAATCAGAACCAGGAGGTCCAATTAGAACCCTGCAGGTCTGTTTGGGTCGGGTTCTGCTCATTCAGCTGCCGAGCAGAACCAGGACTAGAAAGATGGTTTAGAGCAAAGATGGCCGCCGCATGTTCAGCCAGAGTGAAACTAAACAGGAAGCTGTGGGTTTGTGTGTCACTGACCCGTCAGAACCAGAACCAGAACCAGGCTGATGTCATGGATGTGTAGCTCTGGGAGGTCAGACTGGGCAGTAAGAGAAGAACCGGACCTCTAAGAGGTTCCTCTGGTTCTGACCAACCTCAGTAGAACCTTCCTGTGACCCGGTTGGACCCGGTGAAGGTTCTGCTGAGCAGTGAGGTCTGCAGCAGGTGGAACCGGGCCTAACTGGCACCACTGGATCGGTGTCACTTGTTTCTGCACATAGATCTATGTTTCTAGACGCTCCAGATCTTTCATGGTCTGCTGCTTTTGAGTCTAGAACAGCAGATTATGGATGAGGTCTGGATTAGGATGTAATCCAGGTTCTGGGCTCTAATCTGGGTCCTCAGGATGATGAAGGGTCCATGTTCTGTCCTTCAGCCTCAGTCTGCGCTGTCATCCTTATCAGAGCAGACAGCCTCGCTCCTCCTCCTCCTCCTCCTCCTCCTCCTGCTCCTCCTCCTCCTCCCCCCTGCAGAGGGATTAGGGGTAGCCTCGGACTCTGCAGCCCGTTAGCGGCTCTCGGTTCGGTTCTGGGTCCCTCCGGTACCTCGGCGCTGCGGCGCGGCTTCGGCCACCATGAGCGGCTGAGATCCGACCGCCGGACGGCGGCGCTTCCCGATCCGAGGCAGAGTGACTGAAGCCCGGCCGAGCAGCGGACCTTCCTCCGCCCCCTCCCCGGATCAGCGCCGCGCTGCGGAGATAAAGGCGGCGGCTCGGTTAGCGGCTACCGGCTGGATCCTGATGACATGTTTGAGTGAGTGAAGCTGCTCAGCGCGGGAATCAAGCCAATCCCGCAGATTACCGCCAGACGCTGGGATAGCGGAGCTGAACGATGTGATTCAGCTGCAGCGGCAGCGGGGCCCCTAGCAGCGGCAGTGGGGCCCCTAGCAGCGGCAGTGGGGCCCCTAGCAGCGGCGGCGGGGCCCCTAGCAGCGGCGGCGGGGCCCCTAGCAGCGGCGGCGGGGCCCCTAGCAGCGGCAGCGGGGCCCCTAGCAGCGGCAGTGGGGCCCCTAGCAGCGGCAGCACCGGCTGGACTTTGCCCTGCATGGTGGCCCTTTGGACTGTGGTCAGAATGACAGCTGCTGATCAGCAGATTAG